CTTAATCGATTGATCCAAGCGATTGGAGGATTGATTGGCGGGAACACGACAAGAAGCACTTTGGCTCGGTAGCTTCTTTGTTTCTCAATACCTCATGCGGTGAGATAACGATTCACAACGTCTACAACAACAAGCAATCCATCTCCCTGTCGGAGCTCTTGACCGACGTGGACCAACCCGTCACCGGCGAAAATGCCATATTACTTGGCGACTTCAACCTCCACCACCCGGGCTGGGGTGGAGATGGGGTTGCGCAAGTTGAGAAGGACGCCGAAATTCTCCACCAGGCAACAGCTATGGCAGTCATGCGATGCTTGTTACCACCTGGTCTGAGGACTTGTTCACGATCGGCTACCAACTCTGGCGACTTTTCAACCACCATTGACTTGGCATTTGCCGGTCGGAGGCTTGAGTCTCGGGCTCATTCAACCCGAGCGCTGTCAGTACCTGGATTCGAATCAGATCACCGTCCCCATCATACCAGAGTCTCAGTTGCGCCCAACCGAGACAAGGAGCCACGCTTCAACTGGGACAGAGCAAACGAAGAGAGATACTGCGAAGAAGTCGAGAAGCAATTGCGTACGGTCGGCTTCCCAGATATCAGAACTCCGGATGCGGTTGATGATTACGCCAAAGCACTTGTTGTGGCCATCTACCAAGCTGTGCGCCGCACCATTCCTTGTTATAGGAAGACTGCTCCGCGGCCGACGCCCGAAGTGGTTCCGGAAGACGTCCAGCGCGCACCTGAGAATGAGGCGAATCAGCTTCGCATTCTGCATGAACTTCGTTCTCGACGCGGCCAGCGTGGTCAAGAAGAGAAGTACCGCATTGCAAAGAATGAAACCCGTCACGCTACCAGCATGCACAAGCTAGCTTGGTTTCGAAAGAATGTTGCTAGCCAGTCTCTTCAAAGACAGGGTCTTCATCAATTGGCGAGGCAGGTACCATCGTGGAGCCAGCCCCAAGGACAGGTCCATCTGAAGAGACTTATACGACCTGACGGGTCTGTCTGTCAGACCGACGACGAAAGCCTTCACTGCTTCAAGGACAAGATTTGGCCCAGGACGAGCGATGCTTCTGACCCGCCAGCTCCTGAGGTACCCGAGCTTGACCCCAGGCGTTATCAACTCTCCACTCCTCAGTCCATCAGCGATCAGGAATTTCACTACCCATTCGCCTCAGTGGAACGAGGCAAGGCTGCCGGACCGGATGACATCATCAGCAACGCTCTCAAGGTTGGGTTGGAGAAAATCTACGGTTACTTCAAACACCTCGTCAACGCGAGCTTCAAAAACTTCCATCACCCGCTTTGTTTTCGGGACGCGACAACGATTGTCTTTCCCAAGCCTGACAAGGAGGACTATGCTCAACCAAAAGCGTATCGGCCCGTAGCCTTGCTGTCTTGTATAGGCAAGCTGCTGGAAAGGCTGGTGGCGGCACGATTACAATTGCTTGCGGTCCAGTACAAGTTTCTTCCAAACAGGCAGTTCGCATGCGTTGGTAGGAGCACCACCGAGGCCCTGGAGCACATATTCAACTTTGTTTACAAGGCATGGTCCTTGGGGAGTCAGGGAAGATGCAAGAGGCGAACGACTATGTGTAGCTCAGACATCTCGGGAGCCTACGACCACGTTGACCGGCAAGCACTCCTTCGCATTCTGGTCAAGCTCGGTGTCACTAACTGGTTGGTCGAGTGGATAGCATCCTTTCTGTCCTTCAGGAGGTCTAAGCTTCGCGCACCAGGACATACATCCGACTGGTTCTACGTCAACATCGGTATCCCTCAAGGAATCCCTCTGTCGCCCATCCTCTTCATCATTTTTGCGGGCCCCATGCTTCACATATCCAAGCACTTCAGCTTTCCGTCAGTCGAACTCTTAGACATTCAGTTCTCTGACGACTTTTCTCTCGTGGTCACCTCCGACAGCTGGGATGAGAACTGCGTGATCATCGCGAAGATTTTCGAGCCATTGTTCAGATGGGCCAAGAAAGTCGGCATTGATTTCGACCCGGGCAAATTCTTGATCATGCACTTCAGGAAACCCGGCAGCAAAGGTCCCGTTTGCAAGGCGTTCCCTTCCATTGAAGGCATGCCGTCGTCTTGCGTCAAGCAGGTTGCGAGGGTCCTTGGCGTGCAGGTTGACGTGGAACTCACCTTTGCCGCCCACGTCTACCATATCATCAGCAAAGTTCAGCAACGTTTGGGACACTACAGCTGCATGTCCGGCTCTACATAGGGACCACCGACGATGGAGATGAGGCACCTCTATGTCACCAGCATCCGTCCCATCATCGCATACGCCTGCGCAGCATGGTACATCGCCAGGAATCAAGATTGCCAATGGAGCCTGCAGTCTAACATGGTGGACCTGCTCGATCGCCTCCAGTGCCACTGTTTGCTGCAGATACCTGGAGCCATGAAGTCTACGCCCAAGCTTGTCGTCCACAACGAGATGCAGATCGAGCCCATTGCCCTGCATCTCCAACGCGTGGGAGCGGCGCATCGCGCCTGCAACTTTGACACTGCAGAAGGCCAAGCCTTGAAATCCGTCCGCGACTCACTCCCCCCCCCCCCCCCCCCGGCAAAACATCTTTCACCCATTTGGACAGAAATCCATACCAGGTCCAGTACGATCGCGCCATGGAGATTCGTCGACACGTCAAGAACGGCCTCTCCGATGAGAAGGCGGCAAAGTGGAGGAAAAACAGACGGGCCATGGAGAAGGACATCAAGGCCTGGACCAAGGCCACAACACACGACCAATTCGTCGATCTTTGGTCGGAATATCAACAAGACGACTCCGACAGAGAGTCGCAATCATCACGCTCACCGCGCAAGTTCTCGATCGCGCAGCAGCAGGATTGTAGTAGCACGGTCCTCAGCTACTATCAAAACCTGAGCCGGGCTCAGGGTGCCATTCTCATTCAAATGCGAACCGGATTCATTGGACTGAATTCTTTCTTGTCCTTCATGAATGTATATCATTGCTCTTTGACGGGGTCTTTTGGGCTCCTACCATACTGGTACCGTGTTGCTGACCTCTTCATTAGCTGGCCCCATCGCGTCTGTGCCCGTGCGAGAAGCACTCGCAAACCGTCGAGCATGTCTTGATACACTGCGAGCAGCTGGCTGAGCAGCGGGCTCAACTCCGGGACCAAGTCCATCATATGGATCTTGCGACACTGCTCGGGCCCGACGCTGCCGCCACGACAGCCTGGGCTCTCCGCAACCTTGACCTTGACCAATTTTCATTCGTCAAGGACTATCTTCACATCGGCCCGGAAAAGATCCCACAATGATCCTTTCGCCAACAGGTGCAGAATCGGGATCTCTCGGGCCCTCTGGGTGGTTCACATTTAGTGTGGATCTTCGTCCTTGTAAGCTGCAACACCTTCTTTGAATGATGACCTAGCTGATGATTGAGTACAGTGAAAGGATACATTACTACTCAAGCGAGGTCTACATCTTCCGAGTGAGTTCCCATCCTTCATGTGACCTTTTGAGTTGTTCATGTACTCATGAATAGGTTCAGTAGGCTAGCTGATCCCCCTTCCACTCAACCCTTCCAAAGCCACAACCAATGAATCGAGTTCATCACACTTTGTTGCCACATCAGCATCGCTGAGTAAGTTTCCTCCTCTGATTCCTGAAAACATTAGCCGTATCTGATCGTCTAGCAGTGTATCGAAGTCCTCGAGGTAGTTGTTTGTGCAAGGTTGCCCTGTGTTGATTTGGGCCAGGATATCTTTGAGATTTTCCTGTATGTCGATGATTATGCTTCGGTTCGGTGTATCCGAATCCTGAAGTAGGGCTTCTAGGCCTACAATCAAGACTGGTAGGTGATTTCCTTGAACATGACTAGGGGGGGTCACACTAATACTATTCAGTTGCTTTTATGCGTAGTTATTGAGATTTGTCCCCCAGCCACAAGTGGATAGCTAGGCTGGTGGAGGTCGAGATCCTTGAGCAACAACCACCACCACCTCGGTTGATTACTGATAAGGTGATGAGGCTGGTGCCCTGATGTAAGTTGACGTCGTCTGTCGTTCATGATCAATGATCTAACGTGTCTCCTACCACAAGGCAAGGCGTGCTCGAATGTAGCTTTCGAGTGAGGAGAAGTTGTTCATGATGAGCAGTTGAGAGTGTGTAGGGAGCAAGGATCAGCAACGTCATCGTTTCACAGGTATGGTCAAGATTTAGGGTGTTAGGTTTGTTTCCTTACTGACATGAGAATGGCAGATTCGAGTTTTAATACTCCCATCTTCAACCTTGACGGTGCCAGACGGGATAGAAACCATCGTCAGTAGGTTGACCTCAAGCTTTTGAGCGTCAGTTGACTAACTCCTATCAAGGTCTACCAAGGTCGACGAAAAGCTAGATTGCAGTTTCTGGGTACTGCTGTGGACAGGCAGAAAGGGGTACTTCATCAGGGATCCAAAGACTACAGGGTTGCTCAAACACCCTTTTAAGGGCGGGCACTTTTACTTTTGTTACAAAACGTCTGTGTCCGGACATACACAAGCGAGCAACTTGCTCGACTTTCTGGGTAGATATCGATCGGGGTTGTTGGCAATCGACCAACACATCATTACTGGGTATACAAGTCTGGGTACGGCCGAGCGAGGGGGGGGTTTAATTCCGTGTTGCCGTTCTCCCCCCGATGTACTCGTTAGGTTACGGATAAAATTCCAACTGGTGTCAAAAGTTATGGGCTTCAAATGCCTATATCTTTCTTTGCTTTCATATCTGATGCTTGATAACTGACCCGTTTGATGCGCTCTCAAGAGCCACTGTCCATCCACAGATATCTCAAAGTCGCGACCAGAAAGGTCCCTACCTTTACGTGCATGCGCCTGGCTGCCTGCTTGCCTTAGGTGCACTGGTGCGTAGACTTCAGGCAGGTGCCTTCTGTGAAAGTTAATTTAGTGGGTTTTACCAACGCAATAACGCCCTGGGCGCACTGACATCATCAGGGTGCCAGGCACTCCTCACCCACGTATATGAACTCCGCCTCACCCCAAGACGCTGGCTGTCATTCCTCCTCCCCCCCCACACTGGCTCACCTCACTGTCAAGACCAAGCCCGTCGACGAGGCTGCTCTCATCAATCCGACAATTCCGCAAGTTGGGACTCTGAACGAGGCTTGCGGAAACAGCTCAATGGAAGGTGTTAAAAAAAAAAAAAAAAAGGATTCACTATTGCATCCTACTCAGTCATTTGAAGCAATGGTTGCCTCCTTCAACTTTCTCGCCCTCCCACGGGAGCTGCGAGATATGGTCTACATGAATTACTTGGCAGTTGATGGGGGATACGTGTGTGACTCGCAGGCTTTCATCGATGGAAAATTGAGAGCAGGAAAACATGGCGGTCCCATCGAGCTGAACCTCATATACGCTTGCAAGCAAATGGCCCAGGAGACGAACGGGATGGCTTTACGCGTCAACCAGATCACATTCAGCACCATTACCTCGGAAGGATTGCGGATCCTTGCCTCCCGCTTCGAATCTCTCATAGCCCGCGTCGACCAGAAACGGAATACGATCTTTCGTACCGCGGGGCACTGCATCTCTGATGAGGCGTACGACGAGCTGAAGGGCAGATACCCCCACTTCATTCCAGTCCTCGACCGCCTCCGAGCCGAGCAAGGCCAATTCGACACGGTTCCCCGTCACGGTTCGTTCGGCGAAGCAACGTCCGTCTATCGCGAGTTCTGCAAAGACACGCCGAGGGCCGCGTCGCTCTGCAATCCGAACGCCGCCAGGATCCTGCAGCGCTGGGGCGACTTCGGTACCTCTCTCCGTATGATCGACCTCTCCATTCCGCACTGGACCATCCCCACTGAAGATGAGCTGAATCAGCTTCTCGCGAGCGTCGGAGAGAACCCATACCATGTTATCGGGCTTGAGAGAGGCGGAGACCTTTCGATATACCGCTTCTCGGCCGCGTCCGCGGCAATCTACTTTCTGACCTCAGTGCCCGCCGCCGTCCGAGCGCAGGTGCGTAGAATCGTTCTCGACGAGGACCGGGAGGCTGTGGCCGCGCCCGAGTGCCACGGCCTGGGTCTCATCCCGTTCTGCCAGGAGAACCCCCTCCTCCACGTCGAGCGCCGTGTCAACTTGTGGAGGAACGTCCTTCAGGCCAACACGATGACGCCATATGACCGGATCAATCCCGAGGTCCGAGGCACCGCCACCGCGCGCCTGCTTTACTCAAAGGACGTCACGGGGCTCGTAGCAAAGTGGGTGTCGGAGGCCCGCGCCATCGTCTCCGCGGGGATGCCGGCGGAGTCGTTTTCTCTGATCCTCGACGGAGAGCCCGCCGCGCAGCACGCATCGGGGATATTCCAGACCGTTGTGCAGAGAGACATCGCGTGGCAGCTGGCCTGGATAGAGGCGCAGAATCGACAACTGTTCTCGGTCAAATCTGTACATCAGAGGAGGGGTGAGCGGTCCGCCGCCCATAGCTGCGACGGCTACTTTTACGAAGATTTTCCCAGGGCCATGGCAGATATTGCTAACGGTGATGCGTGCTCCTCCATCGTGCAGTGCAACTTTGACGTCGGCCAAGTTTGGGATGTGGAAAGGATGATCCACGACCATCGGTCATGGTCGCCCGAGAAGTGGAAGACAAAATGGCCCAAACACGAACCAGCTCTGTGGGAGACTGTGCCTCCTCTGCCAGAGTGGATGGCTTTGCTGGAGGAGAACATATTAGGACACGATGAAGAGGTCAGAAATGGTCTGCGAGGCCCAGTGGTGTGGCCGGGGGTACGAGATCATAACAATCGTCGCATCCAACACAGTTTAAGTGATAACAACTGAAAGGGAAGGGCGAACCACCGTCCGATTTGCGGGAGGTAAGTTAGGTCTGTAGTATTGGAAATTATGTCCTGGAATTACATGGGCCGAGTGGTCTGAAAGATGTGCAGTCAAAGTACAGAGTCAAAGGGAGACTTCCTCGCGCCTCAAAGTTCAGTCTTGGGCATTTAACCTGCGGTTGTCGGCCCAACCTGTGAGATACCTGCCAGAGTATAGAGCTTTTCAGACTATATAAGAATCGATTTTGATGCTAGTCGTTGGCAAGAAAGTCTTCCTAGGTATATACAAATGGGATCATCTTCATACTGGAGGTCGCCTTGCAGGTCTGCCTCAGTCTCCGCCTCGGTCGCGGCGTTGAGCTGCGCGAGACGGACGCGCTCCGGGGCGCAGATGAAGAGGCCCAGCGCCCAGCCGAAGAGCATGACGGCCATGAGGGCGATGTAGGTGGCGTCGTTTACGGTGCCGGTGGTGGAGGAGAAGTTTAGGCCAAAGGCGGCGAGGCTGCCGACGCCGCCGCCGAGGTTGAAGATGATCCAGAAGACGGCGATGGCGCGGCCCTTTTGCGACTCGTGGACGTAGGTTGTCATTATGGCGCCCTGGACGATCCATATAAAGGAGGAGCCGATGCCGAGGATGGCGCCGGCGGCGATGACAAAGGTTCCGTTTGCGGTGTCTTTTGGGGTTTGTATTTTGTTAGGTTTCTTCAAGGGAATGGGGAGGGACGTTTGTCTTTGAAGGGAAAGGGGGGAGAGAACGTACGGTTGAAGTTTAAGAGACTTCCGCTGTAGAGGGCGTAGGTCCAGCCTCCGATGAGGAATGCGATTTTGGGGTCTACGAGGGACAGGATCGGACCTACGAAGAAGAGGGATGCTACGGCGGTTGTGGAGAGCAGGGCGACGGTTGCGTTGGCTGCTACTGTTGAGTCGACTTGGCCGGAGCCTCCCAGGCCAGTCAGGGCGTTGTACATCTTTGGGTTGTGGATTTCTCGTTAGCATGTAATTCTCTATGCACTCGCTTTCATGGGAGGAACTCTGACTAACCCCAGGTAAACAGAAGCAGATGAAGCTGATTAGGATGATTCTGCGGGCATACTTTAGCCGGTTGCGACAAGGGGGAGTTAACTTTGCATGGGCCCTACTGTGTCCATGGGTTTGAATACAGCCTCATGAGCTTGGAGCTCTCCCTGTTCTCGAGGTCATTCTGAAGGTCGGTCCCTGTATGTGACGCACTGTCGGATAACTCTCGAGGTCCCTTGGCAGTCATTGTTGATGTCCTGGCTCGTTGATCGATAAGGGGGATGGTCCTCCTCCTCGTTTCCTGTGACCCTGAGCTGACTGCGTCTCTCTTATTGCAAGATGCTTTGATTGATAGCTTCCACTATTTCCGACCACTGTCACATGTCCCGTATGCCTGATGCATCCAATGGCAGTATTGAGATGGGGAAACATGGCATGAGCACATGGCAACGTTGAAGTCGCAACACTCTACGGAAGCTTGGCTTCCCCACCCCCCTCCTATCTACAACAGTTCCCCGCTAGAGTGACAGTTGATCTCCTCGCTCTGTTTCTTACCAAAAACAACATGATAGCAATAAGGGTGAGGCTGCGGGGAAGCCGGACGAAAGAAGATAAGCTGAGGGCCCTTCCGCCTTCTTCTCCGCATTATCCGATTTTTGTTCTCTATTGGGTAAGAAGAATTCGAATATTTTCCCACAATCACACTGAGGGGAGCACAGGAGTCGGACAGCAGTGTGGTCTATGTGGGACATGACACTTGGGGGCCGAGGACCTGAGGTCAGATTCGTGAAATGTGATTCGTTCACCAACCCCAAAGAGGAGATTTAAGGAAACTGGGTCTGCCCCAGCTTTCTTCAATCCGGCGCCACCCGCCGGCGCGATCCTCATCAACAAGGATGTTCCTTGGGGCTCCGCTCCGGCCCTCTTTCTTCTGGCGCCGTTGTATATCCGTGCACTCGTGGCGGTGCCGATGTCTCTGATGGAACGTGACATTTGTTGATCTCGGAGGTAAGCAAATGGCTCTGATGCCTGCCGGTCCGAGGCGGGATCTCGCGATGATCGGAGGTGGTATTGCATCTTTCCAATGCCCAATGAATAAACTGGACTGACGTCTGGTTCAAGTGCTGGTGGATGAGAACTCTATCTTGCTTCGTAGTTGCTTCAATCCGCCCAGAAGAACACTCTTGAATATGTTCAAGGTCACACAAGTGTCTAAAATGAGGTGCTGCTGCCTGGAACCATTAACGATGCACCCTATGAACAATCCGCAGCTGAGGTCTATTTTGACATGCGACCACATTGAATGCGAGCATACGGAGTACCTAGATCACGTTCCATGAAATCTGGCGGGGCAGGAAGAAACAACTCATACTATGAGGGCGAAAACCACAAAATCATGTCTCATTTCAGTTTCTAAATATACTTATCAGATCGGACGAGGTTTGCTGGAAACGTTACGATAAAAAGATTGAATGGATATCTCAGGCAGGCACGGACACGATCTCCCTTCAAGAGACAGAAAAAGGAAAGAAGGGTACATAGCGACTCTGACGAGGTAGTGAACTAGGTTCATGACTCTTGTTTTTCCCCGTGAACGTTAACTTCAACGTCGCATTTGGAAAGACCCCCCCCACATTTTTGGAGGTTGTCGTTCAGAGCCGAGCCGCAAGTCAATCGCGCGGAGCTAGTTGTAACCCACCTAGCGTCCGTTGAGACTAAGGTGGAAAAGAGGCTGGTCAGGTCTCACACCGGGTCCGGAACCCTCGGGCCCGGGCGACCCCACCAAATATCAGAGCGCCGGCTCCGTGGGGGTGAGTCTTCATTTGACGTCAAGTCACGGCGCCCGAGGCACCTAACGTAAGGTAGGTGAACAAGCGGCCAGGTGAGACATCGAGCAACGGCGAAGAAGCTGGAGTCGTTTAGACCATGTGTATGCTAGACCGAAGTCGCGCTTCGCTTGTAGCACTTGGATAGTTCCATAAAGTTGTCTTTGGGTTATCTGTCACTAGGACGACTTTTGCCGTTTCGCTCTCCCCATCGCATGCTGCGGTAGAGAGACATCAACGCCTACATTGGATGTCGCGACTTGGTCATGCCGCATCGTCAGATCAATCACAAAACCACTTATTATTCCCCGCACACCTTCGAATCTATCAAAGCAAGACATGGAAAGCTGACTGAGACATGAAAAAGCCTCGGCCATCGTCACACAAGGTACGACCTTAACGCACCGCTCCCAAAGAACGAGTTGAATAGACCGGGTAGATGTGAGCGTAATTCCATGTGCATGTTTACTGGAGAAAAGTGATTTGAAAGTTAGAACCTAAGACTTGCATCCGGCGGATATACCTCTCATCCCAGACACAGAAAACGACAGACGGGCCGACGGCAATCTCCAGCCGGTCGGGACTGCATCGCTTCTTCCGCGTCACCGCTCATTGGTAGGCAAATATCGACTCTCCTGGGGTAGCTACGGCAAGCGATCCTATTCGCTGGTAAGTAGAACAACCTCGTCAATCTTTCCGTCGTTCGAGGTGTCCAGGAGCGGGGGGAATAAGTTGTGCTCTTGCGGAAGCGGAATGCTTCCCGGGTTATCAAGGGACGAGTTCTGTCGTCCAATATCCCCGTGGTTATGATTGAGTTTTAAGTTTGGACGACTAGAGAAGCCGATGCGCCAATGACCACGCTACTGGATCGGGCAATGGGACGTTGGATTCCGTGGCCCAAATTGGTAGTGTACCAGGGGGGGTGTGGTTTACCTTCGCACCCCTACACGTGGGAGGGTCGCAACACGGTCCTCTGCCAATTGTGAGCCTCAGACTCCTGTCCCTATTCTAACAAAGACGTGAAGGTTTCGTACAATGATTGTCTTCAACATCCAAGTTCTCGAGCCGTAACAAAGAATATCCACTGCGAATAGCTTCCAGAAACCAACTGAACAAGAACAATGAAGAATCCACCACAGCGTAATAAATAAAACAACATCCTCCATCTTAATACCAATGGTCCTCAATCCCAATTAACCAAGCATATCAACCCGTAAAGAACAAGTGACCCCCCAGTAAAACCCCGTCATGTGTCAAGTCACCCAAACAACAATGTCCTGCGGCCATACAATCCACTCCCCTCCAACACACTGCGAGAAAGGCGCGCGCTGCCAGCAGCAGCAGCCCCAGTCCGCCTTCCTCGAAGACAGCTGCGCCGCCTGTCACCGCCCCACGAGCTACGCCCAGAACCGCACGCGGTATGAAGCCGAGCACGCCTTGCTGATGGGTGAATACATGCAGGCCGACGCCGCGGGCGACGAGGACGGCATGCGGCGCCTCCGGCGCGCTATGCTGGAGCACACGCGGCTGCTGCGCCAGCTTAATTTTGCGGTGATTTTGGTGAGGGAGGAGCCGTGCGGGGATGTTAAGTGGCCTGCTTGTGAATGAAATGGGTGGGGAGGATTACTGGCGATGTTGGTGGATGGATGGGATGATCTTGGAGGGGGCACTTTGGGGCCAGGAATCAGGGAAAGGTTGAATGAAATTGTAAATTTGGGGTGGGGGGGGGGGGGTTATGGATACAAAAAATTCAAGATGCCTCCTAAATGACCCTCTTCTTAAGCCTCAGTACGAGCTGGAAAACCAAGTATTGCCCTCCCATAAACGACACGACCTCTAAGCAAACATCCTTTCCTCTAATCACCAAGGCGGTGAATACTTTGGTAACGTCCCGAGCCGCACATCGCTCGGGCCCATGAACTGCGCAACATCCCACGCCGAAGGCATATACGGCATCTGGTTCGGAGAATCCTGCCGCGTCTGCTGACCAGCGTTTCCCTTCTGCGCTTGCACTTCCTTCTTCGCCTGCGTAAACTCCTTGACCCTCGCCGTACCCAGCTTGCCGGCCCTTCTCTTGTCTGTGGGACATCGAAGCAGAGGGACCTGAATGACGGCGGAAAAAATGTCTCTTATTTTCTGTTCCGGTTGGTTGTGTCGCTTTGCCACCTCCTGGAATGGAAACATGTTTTGGCAGGTGTCTGCGATATCGACAATGATGTGTTTGGTCGTCGGCTGCGTGTCGGGGACTCTACTTGTTTGAGGTTTCGAGGTGGTAGCTGCCACTGGTTTGGCTGGTTGGGCTGGTGGCTGTTGCGTGACGTACGGCTGTGGTTGTGGGACTGGCGAAGTAGGTCCGAGATGGAACATGTGTCCCGCCGGTTGTTGGGCAGGAATGCCAGCACCGAGATGTGGCTGTTGCGGGTGGACTGCAAAGTGACCAGCTGGTCCGGCCATCAGAGATTGTTGTAGCAGCGGGTTGTACATGGCTCCAGCCATCGTGTTGTGGTACGGGTTGAGGCCCAGGAGGTTTGTCCAAGGTTGCTGCATAGACGACGGCGGAAGGGGAGCTTGACTGGCAGGAGCTGCATTTGTGCCGTTTGGCAAGCCTGAGTTGACCGCCATGCTGGCAGCCTGTTGCCTCAACCTCGCCTCCACACACTGACGGCAGGGCCCCTTTGCTCCAGACGTAGGGCGATTTGCGCAGGCCCCGGCCTGGTTATCCGACGTACCATGCGTGGTGTTGTGAATATCAGAAGTGAACGGGTTTGGTGCATGGGTGTTTTGGTGAGTATGGGTATGGAAGGAGAAGGGGAAGGGGGGTTCGTTAATCTTGGAACTGTGAATGTCTACTTGCTGATCCAAGAGATCGCGAATAGCATTCTTCGATTCCACTTCGGTACCAGAATGGTTCAGTGTTGGCACAGGTTCAGCTGCTTGATGAAGCATGGTTGTGCCGTCTGCTCCTGATACGGGCATAGAGTTGATCTTGCCCAGGTCAGTGATGCCAGCTAGCGCGGGAGCTGTGGGAACTGAGAGAGCCGTGGGTGTCTCCTTTGCAATCTCAGCGTGGTTCTCGGTCTCTGGTTGAATCTGATTCGGCGTACCTTGTTCTCCTGACACTTGCGCTTGATACACATGAGGCGATGTCGTGGTTGACGGCATGGTCGACGGGACCGGTGCGGGAATATTAGCCACGGCTTCGTTGGTTCCGCTCATACGACCAGGTGCAGATCCATGACTCTTGTCAATCCCAAGCATTGAAGGCGAAACATGTTCTGGGAGTGATTTGGGTGACACTGGTGGCGAGCATGGCGGTCCAGTATACGGTGCAGTCCAGAATGATTCTGAATGGCAGGCCCTCTCCGGCGTTGGCATGGAGCATCCTCTCATCGGGTCCACGTCCGGCAAACGGGCCGTGGGCGAGTGATCGACCATGCCCGTGCTTCCCCGTCTTTCCGGCTGAGAAATGGGCTTGGCGGGCTCGGATGGCTGATGGTTGATGGGGGCGGGTCGCCCCGCCGGCGCCGGTGAGTCTGTGGTGGAATGTGGCGTGACCGGCTGATAGCCATCGATTCTTCTCTTCTTGACGGGATTGGAAGATACGAATTGAACGTCGTCATCATCTCGTTTCGCTGGTATCACAGGTTGTGGGTATGGTGCAAGGGTTGTGGGATAGATTGGGGGAAACATGCCAAGATAGTGGTGGGAGCTTTCCATTTCGATGAGGAGAGACAGTGACGGAGGGGAAAAGAGGGAGAGATGGATGTCTTGCTGATGCGGGAGCGGGAGCGGATGCAACATCGATGAGATGGAGGAACGCCGCTAACTGATAAGAAACGGCCAAGCATCCATATTTGAACCCTGTGCCAACCAACAACAGCTCTGCTGGGTACCGTACATGTTGGAATGACGGGAAAGCTGAGCACACCCAGTAACAGTGAGCCATGAACAGCAAAGAGAGAAGCCAAGAGAAGAGCGTTGGCATGTTGCACAGTTTGCCTTTGAGCCGTTCCCTTTGGTACGGTGGGATTCCATCCTGGTGTGCCTGGCAGAAAGAACAGGAAAACCACAACGTTTTGCATACTGTGACAAGCACCTTGATGCCACTTTTCTCGGGTCCAGGATGCAGATTGCCACTTGGCAGGGAAGGCGGCATGAGGTGCCCAAGTGAGTACCTTGACTTCAAGGAGGTGTGCAGAGTTGCCAGTGTTCTTATCAATGCTGCCCGTTACTGCTAAAAGAGACGATAGGTTCTCTTGGTTTCCTGTAGAGTTGCAAGCTCAGACAATGAAAGCGACCGAAAGGGTTCTGATCTGAGGCACTTGCTCCCTTGTGCAGCGATGGACTCATCTAGTGTCTTCATGGCCTTATCAAGGCAGGGATCAGTGGCGCTGACTGTGGTGCTCTGCACATGACGCAGCACCATCGGGCGAGGCCTACCAATTGCTGGAAATTGCTTCATGACGGAGTCAATTTAGACTGTATCGCAATGAGAAGTGCTCATTCAGTTCAAGAAATGGAGGAGAGTAGCACACAGAGGTATTATTGGTCATGGATGGGAACAGTCAGCATGTGGCTTGACTGCTGCCTCAGCCTCTTATCGTGCTAAGCTCCTGCCCATCTGTGAACCACGCCTTCCCCACATCGCGGGGCAGCCTCAAGGCAGCTTCACCTCCACTACGGATACCTTACCGGAGCAACGTACTACCCATCTCCAACTGTACCTACAGCTGCAACAGCAAACACGACCGACGTCAACCCAAACACCAGTCGACAGCTCCCTGCTCCAGATCTTTGTCCCTTCATTTCTTCACATGGTCTCAACAATCGAATAATAAATCCCATATCCTGTGGCGACGGCCAGAGAATCGTCAGCCATGGCTTCTTCCGACGTGAACCCGCTCATTTCGAACCAGAAGTCCTCGGAGCTTCAAGCAATCCTTCATCCTCTGGTACTCCTCACCATATCCGACTACATCACCCGTCATACGTTGCGGTCGCAGCAAGGACCCGTTGTTGGCGCTCTTCTGGGCCAGCAGAATGGTCGCGAGATTACCGTCGAACATGCGTTTGATTGTCACACGATACCGGCACCAGAGGTGGAAGGAGGCTACCTCCTAGACTCTGAGCGCTTCGGTGCGAGATTGGAGCAGAGTAAGCTTAGCCTGTTTCCCATTCCTTGCGCCCTCAGTGGACTAATATCCCCCGAGTGAAGACAGTTCACAAGGACCGAAGCCTAGACTTGGTTGGCTGGTACACTCTCCTGGCAGTCACCGGCCCGACACCCACCATCCTCCCGATCCACAACCAGCTTCTCTCCGAATTCAACGAGTCGGCCCTCCTCCTAGGCTTCCATCCCGAGGAAGTCTTTACTCATTCCGTGGGCGGCAAGCTGCCCATGACCATCTACGAATCCAACTATGAGGTCGACGATCCGAGAGCTGCCGAGGCAGAGGGCGAGGACAAGAAGATGGACGACGGGCAATCGAAGCTTAAGCTACGATTCCGCGAGCTGCCTTACACGGTCGAGACGGGCGAGGCTGAGATGATTAGCATGGACCATGTTGCGCGCGGTGCCGGCAACGCGACCGCCGTTGAGGCTCCCAAGGAGGCTGCCAAGCCCAAGGTCCAGCGCGTTGACCTGGGTACTAAGCGCCGCGTCGTTGTTACCGATAGCGCAGACGGTGATAACGCAGAGGCTCAGCTGTCCCCAGAAGAGGAAGAGATGGTCGCCGCTCTGACGGCCAAGGCGAACGCCGTCAAGATGCTTCAGGGCCGCATCCGCCTCATCACAACTTACCTCGAACGCTTGCCTGCCGAACCCCTTGCCGGGGATGAACAGCCCGACGCCGTATCTGCCACCACCGATGCGCAAACGACACCATCTCACACCATCCTCCGCCAGATTCAGGCCCTCGTGAACCGGCTAGACCTCGTCGTTCCCTCTGATGCGGAGGGTTTCGAGAAGGAGGTGCTCTGTGAGGAGAACGAGGTCGCCATTACGTCACGTCTCAACGACCTCATGCAGAGTATCAGTGGCATGCGCGATTTGGGCAAGAAGTTTAGCATCGCCGAGTCCGCACGTAGCAGGAATCGCGGTAATCCGACGGCGTCTGACTTCCCCAACTACGGTCCTTCTGGCTTCAACCTTCCCGGAGCGGGAGACATTATGATGTAGAGGGTACCTTATCTTACGGTGCCTGGGCAGCGAAGCAAAGAGTCTTTTTTTTGGCGGCGGTTGCGCGCATCATCAGCCTATCTGGGATTCATGGGGAGGCGTTCCAGGGGATAATGTAGACATGACCACACGTGCGAGGGGCACAAATAACCCCGAAAAATACAAACACCTTTAGTCCAGATACAGCATTGCCAGCGAGTTATAGCTCCATGAATGAATCCTCGTGAGGTTCCTCTAGGGATCGAATACAAACCAGCTGTTTCCCGGATTGCGGTGAATACCTTACGATACAGTCACCCGCTGGCACCTACCTACCTTACCTTACCTCGCTCCACGTCCCTCGGGTACTTCCGCACGTCTGGGTCGGCGGGTTCAGTTCAAGCTATGTGCGAGGTGGTCAATTTCAGTTAAGAATAAAAGGGCAAACCTGGAATACTCTCATTAAGTCAGAGTCTGGGTCCGGGTTGATTGATCAGTTATCCCCCCTCTCCTCATTTTCCTTTTTTTTTTTTTTTTCTAGTTCCAACTACATCCATGTCAAAAGGAGAGAGAAGAGAGAAAAAGCGACCTCGACAGAGAATCGAATAAAAAGGTTAGGTTAAGTGAGGTTCAAGGACTTTCAAGTCAGTCACATCGACTCCCCCCCCCTCTAAATACCTCCCCGGCCACGTTCCTCTTGTTCCTTTTATGATAGGAGTAAGAACAGAATTGGCACAATTTACCGCACATGCTTCAAATTCTTTTCTTCCCGGGAAGTAGAGAATAATAGTCTTGGGGTTTTGAGGGGATGAGGAATGTGACGGAAGTGATCTTGGGTACTGGCCATATGATTCATTTTCTTTGTAAATCAACCTGCAGACTACCTATGCTCTCTTTTCTCTTTTTTTTTTTTGTGTCCTGAGAAACCCTAGGAAATGGAAGTCAATCCAACGACCCCCCTCACGCTCATCATCGCCACCCGGCCTCCGTCGCTGGCCCAATCACCTTTGCTAAATTCTCCTCGCTCTCTAAGTAGGTATCAACTTCATCATCATAGCTATTTTACCAAACTTTCCAACGCTTGCTCTCTTAAATAAAGGAAGAAAAAGAAGAGAATCCAAGGTAGTATCTATAATCAAACCGCACACTGATAAAAACTGATAAACTCCCCCCAAAAGAGGACCGCAAATCCCGACTACCTAACGCATCAAGGGCCAACTCATGCCTCAATAACAACCTTGAGCACAAGCTTCCCCTCATCATCAAACGTCCGACTCGCCAGCTCAAACGCCTTTGACGCGTTCTGCAGCCCCTTGAACCGGTGCGTAACCATATCGTCCAGAGGCGGGAGCCCGCCGTTGCCCTTGGCGCAGAGCAACCGGACGCCCCTCGGGTAGGTGTTTGCGTACCGGAAGATGCCGAGGATATCAATCTCCCGCAGGTGCGCGACGGACAGAGGCAGCGTCTGCACGGGCGTGCCCATGCCGACCATGATCACCTTGCCGCCGGGCCGCGTCGCGTATAGGCTGGTGTGCATGCAGACTTCTTTGCCGGTGCACTCAAAGGTGACGTCGACGCCGTCGTCTTCGGCGTCGGAGTCGAGTTCTTCGGGGACCTTTGTGAGGGCCAGGATCTCTGCGGCGAGGGATTTGGCGCCGTCGAATTTGCTCTGTACGCTTTGGACGGAGAAGATACTCGCGGGGGTCATGACGCCCGGGTCGGCTGGCGTCGAGGTGCCCGAGTTGGTGTTGACGACGTGGCCGTGTGTGGCGAAGCCCTTCTCGACGGCATAGTTTACGCGGCCGGCGTCAACGTCGGTGATTGTGACCTCAGAACATCCAGCTTGCCGCGCCATAGCGGCCGTCAGGAGCCCGACGGTGCCTGCGCCGATAACCAAGGCCGTCGAGCCTGGCTCCGGCGCGGCCCTGTTGACGGCGTGGATGGCGACGGAGAGGGGCTCGAGGAGAGCGGCGGCCTCGTAGGAGACGTGGTCGGGGATCTTGTGGCACCACGCCGCCGGGTGGTTGATTCGTTCTTGAAGTGTTCCCTGGTAATGGGGCACGCTCTTGGCGCTGGACCGGAACTTCATCTTCTTGCAGAGGTTGTATCTGCCTTTGCGGCAGATGGTGCACTGCCC